CGATGCTGTTATTAGCCATTATTGTGGTACTATAGTCGCTATGTCGGTGCTGTTATTAGCCACTATTGTGGTGCTGTTATAGCCGCTATGTCGGTGCTGTTATTAGCCACTATTGTGGTGCTGTTATAGCCGCGATGTCGGTGCTGTTATTAGTCACTATTGTGGTGTTGTTATAGCCGCTATGTCGGTGCTGATATTAGCCATTATTGTGGTACTATAGCCGCTATGTCGGTGCTATTATTAGCTACTATTATGGTGTTGTTATAGCCGCTATGTCGATGGTGTTATTGCTAAATGCTGTAATATGCTAAACTGATATTGTTAAGCTGGTTGATGTGCTGATAGCTGTAGTTATTTATCCTTCATATTTCACATATGTATGCTGATTCTTTTCACTAGCTTACCCTTTGTTGTTTCCATGTGGTTTGGACTGCGATGATCATACTATGTATGGGAGCAGGGCAGGGTTAGGTTGGTGTTTTGCTGAGGAAGGTCTGCAGCTGGCAGATGAAGTTTTATTCTTTTGATGTATTTAGCTACTTAGTTAGCATTTGCTGGATGTATTTTGTACACTCTGATTCTAGACGGATTTGGACCTTGTATATATATATATATTCTAGATCCTATATGTATATACTTGTTCGTTTCTGTGCAGTATTCCAGTGTGTTGTGCTGTGTGTAGTGACCAGCCGGGTCGTTACAAAACTCAATCTAATCTGCTCCAACATTTGTTTATCCATTATGAATATGAGTTATGCACAACAAGAAACATGAATTATTGTAAAGACAAAATGTCCATAGCAAATTGTCATCTTAAAGTTAGTTTAATTATTCTCTCACTTTTATATTTTTTTGTTATTTTTATTTAATAATTTTTTTCTTGAAAAATTCTTTTTAGAAATAATATTGTCAATAATAATAGTTAAGTAATAGTCACCTTAGATGCATTTTAATTTGATTATCATGAAAAGTACAAAAGGTTAATGATAATTGTAATATCCTAAATTTTTTGATACAATACTCTCAATTTTATTATTATTATCTTATTCTTAAAATAATAGTCTAAATTTTTTATTGTCATATTTTAAAATAAATAGAGGTTAAATACAAAATTTTTATATAATTTTAATGCATTAGAATTTTTATCACAATATTTCCAAAAAACTAAAATGGAAATATATAAAATATAATGACATTATAAAATTTTAAAATCCGATTTATAATATTTTTTAGAATAATATTTTAATTACTATTATGAAAAGTAAATATTTAAAATCGTTAAATGTTTGATATAAATAATTATTATAGAAGAAAAAGAGTAAAAAAAAAAAAAAAAAAAAAAAAAATTTTTACATTCTTATCTACATTAAATGTATGGATAAGATTATGTAGTGAAACATATCCATTAGTAAAAAGATTCTATCTACAAGTAAACAATGGTTGGAAATCAACCAAGAAAGAAAAACATGTCATTACATGCAAACTAAGTAATCATTACCAAATTTGCTATAAATAAGCCATGTGGTGGGGAATATGGAACTACAAAAATTTGAGAAGAGAGAAAGAGAGAACTTACGGAGAGAAAGAATATTAAGAAGGAGGAGAGAAAGGAGAAGAGAAATATACAATTTTAGAATACCTTCAAGTCATTTCATTTTTCTACTAAGGTATGGGGGAGAAGATCTTTATCCTTTTAAATTTTTATATACTATTATGTTTGTTTATTTATATTATATCTATGTATATTTATTTAGTTAGGTGTCCCTAACCTCATTTACTTGCTTATGAGATATTTTTTACTCTTAATAATTAATGAGGTGTTCCTAGTTTATATTGTTTAATTATTTTATGATGTTTATCACTGTCATTTAATAAAATAATATTCTTTAATACTTTCCATTTTGTAAACTATGTTAAATTAAATTTTAAATAATTAAAAATATTTAAACTCATTTAACTTAATTATTTTATATTAATTTTAACTATAATATAGTTCTATTAAAATATCCTAAGCTCATCTTGTTGTTATTTCTTCAAATATTATAAAGATAAATGTTATTCTATGGTCATAAGAAATAAAGTTTGAATTAATTTGTAGTTGGAGGTTTGATCTTGGGAACTTAAATGAGTAAGGACTTAAGGTGAAATATCCTTTTGTTGATTGATATTATTATGCTCATTTATCCTGACTAGTCACTACTAAAATAATTCAAATTTTATTATAACAAGACCGTCTAAAATATATTTATATGTATAAATATATACATATATATATTTAATATTGGGTATAAATAATTCTATACATTCTATTGAATTATTTGTATTTATTGGATATTTGTTCTCACTCCTTATTTTCTTTATTTTTAAAATTAAATATATTACAAAATAGATGGATCTACTTGTGATTCTAGGTCCTTTTACAGTTGTTATTACTGCTATCTTCCCTGGAAGGAATTGGAATGTGGAAACTATTTCCACCTCTGTTACATTTCAAGGCATATGATTATCTTCATATTTTTTTTTACCAAGAAAACCCAACTATTATTGATGGACCTATTATAATAATTTTTTTTATCATGCGCCAACTACACTAATCTAATTTTAAATTTATTTCTACCATCAATGTAAATATTGTAGTAGAATTGGGAGAAATAAATAATGTGTAGAGTAATATGATGTTGTAAATATTTTTAGAATAGTATGTAATGTAACTATAAGCTAACTATTATAAATAAGTTTACAAAATCTTCTTTATCTTTATGTAAAATACTATTAATGATATAATTGTAATAATAATATATAAGGAAATATATATTTAATATTATATAATTAGGCGTTACAATAATCATTTTCAATGTGATTTTGATTTGGTTATTGTAAAAATATTTTAAAATTTAAAATATTTTAAAATAAAAAACTGTGTAAAATATAAAAATATAAGAAATTTTTTGTGATAACTACTGTGAATGCACTTCCAATTTAGTTATTAGTTGAGCTACAAAAGATTGATTACAGTAATTACTTTGGATTCGCTTCCAATTTGATTATTGTCAAAAACCTTTTAATTTAAAAAAAAAATAATAATTCAAATGAGTTAAACATCTAAAAGGAAAATAATAAAAGATATAAGTTTTAAAATTTAGAAATTAAGACACCTATCTCTCTCTCTTTTTAATTTAAAGTTTAAAAATTCATAATTTATGTTTTACAAATAATTACTTTAGCAACATTCTTACTTTGACTACTATAAAAATAAAAATAGTAATCACTTATTCTAATTTAGCTATATAAAAAACTTTCAAATTAAATCTTATTAATATAATAATAGCTTAACATTAACAACTTTAAATGCACTTCTAATTTTGGTTATTGCAAAAGCTATAAAAGGTTAACCGTAATTATTTTGGATGTTGTTTAAATTTAACTATCGTAAAAGCCTTTAAAATTTAAAATTATTTATAAATTAAAATTTTTTAACACAAAAATATTTTTCTACAAAATAACTATGTAGCTTTGATTCTTTATTAAATGTGAAGACAAGTACATTTTCACTCTAATAGAAAAATTTAAACAATCTTTAGTTATTTTGGATTTTGGATATGATTTACTATTTTTTCCTTTATTTTCCTCAATTTGATGATGTCAGAATATTTTTTATTTATTTATGAGTTACCATATTTTATAAGATACAAAATTTAAGTTTAAGATATTCATTGTGTCATGTAAGTCAACTATAATGAAAACAAAATATACAATTATTTAAATGTAAAATATTCATAAGATACTAACATTATAGATGCTCTATTTATTTTATTATACGTGAATCAGAATCTTATGGATGTGCTTGGAGCACAAAATTTGCAAAAATATTTATATTTTTAACTTATTATTATTTGTAATGTTTTCAAATTTAAAAATACACATTCAATGAAAAGATTGCCAGTTCTAAAAGATTTTGAATAATTAAAAGGGGAATTTGCAAGCAAGAATAATCATTTAAAATCAAATTATATTATTTATAGATTTTAATTTACATGTATTGTTAATTAAACTGTTTGCATTTCATATATACCACTTTTAAAATAATTACTAAAATTTCATATACAATTAAATGATAGTTGGTGGTTAATAATGGAAGAATTAGAGAGATTTTTGAATAATTAAAAAGAGTAAAATTAAATATAATATAGAAGTTATAAGAAAAAATTGTCTAAAAAATAAAAATTATGTACATAAAAAATAGATATTCCTTTTATTATTAGTAAGTATCAATATAAATTTCTATATTTGTCCCTATAAGGGGCTTTCAACTAAATTACATCGTGTAAGAAAATTAACTAATTTAGTTAAAAAATAAGAATATTAAATTTCTGAATAATTTAAATAACTTTTTAAAATTATTTTTTTAATTTAACCATTTATCATCTTATTAATTAATGTTTGAGAAAGAGAAATCTATGTTTAAATTTTTTAATAATTTTTTAAAATTAATTTTTTAATAATTTTTTTAATCTATGTATAAAAAAAATTATACTACTATATAATAATGTAAAAATTATTAATTATTACCTCTTTCTTTTTCTTTTTTTTTTTGTAAGTTAAGAATTTGTACAAAAATAAAATCCTGTTTCTTGAAATCTCTAACAAAGTTGGAGTTTGAAAGGCAAGGAACAGTATTCGTATTCGAACAAACACCAACACCAACACCAACACCATGGTCCATAGTACTACCTTCCACGCCAGTCACCATGGGGAAGAGCGTGAGTCACACCTTTTCCGCCACACGAACTCAAACCCCCGTGCTTGCCAGCTATCACAACTCACAAAGCAATTTATGAATAATAGTAAAAAACAATAATACAGGAAGAAAATTTGTGCGAAAAATAAATAAAAAAGAAAAGAAGGGAAGGGTATTTTTGTCCTTGAAAAGTGGGATCCGAAGGTGGAGATTGCGCGCGTCCAAAAATAAAAAAGAACCCCTCGAAAACGCGATCATGGGTGGCAGAAACGGAAGCACAGGACGACCCAATCCCAACCTTTCGGTTCGCCCACAAATAAAATAGTTAACAAAGCCCACTATTTCTTCCTTCGAATCACACCCACGCCCCTCCCTGCCTCTCTCTCTCTCTCTACTTTCCCACTCTCTCTTTCTCTCTCTTCCGAATCCAGATCCCGCAATGGCCAGCGCTCCCTCCCCACGCGAAGAGTTCGTGTACATGGCGAAGCTGGCGGAGCAAGCCGAGCGCTACGAGGAGATGGTCGAGTTCATGGAGAAGGTCTCCGCCGCCGTCGAGAACGAGGAGCTCACCGTCGAGGAGAGGAACCTCCTCTCCGTCGCCTACAAGAACGTCATCGGCGCCAGGCGCGCCTCCTGGCGCATCATCTCCTCCATCGAGCAGAAGGAGGAGAGCAGAGGCAACGAGGACCACGTCGCCGTCATCCGCGACTACCGATCCAAGATCGAGGCTGAGCTTTCCAACATCTGCGACGGAATCCTCAAGCTCCTCGACTCGCGCCTCGTTCCCTCCGCCGCTGCTGGCGACTCCAAGGTCTTCTACCTCAAGATGAAGGGCGACTACCACAGGTACCTCGCCGAGTTCAAGACTGGCGCCGACCGCAAGGAGGCCGCTGAGAGCACGCTCTCCGCCTACAAATCTGCTCAGGTTTTTTTTTTCTCTCTTGCTTTTGTGATTTATATCTGTTCGGTTAACTCTCCAGATTCGCGATTTGACATGTTCTGTGAATTGTATTCGCACGCGCGAGTGAACTCTCACGCGCTTGGTGAATTTTAGGTTAGAAAATTGTTTAGTCTATGTGAGAGTAGTGATTTTGGAAACGAAGGAGGTTCAAATTCGGAAGTTGCTTGTTTAAAATTGAAAATCTTGAAATCTTGATTAGTTGAATAATCTTTTCGTTTGCGTGCTTGCTTGATCTACCGTTCAAAGCATGTGGTTTTGCGATAACGGTGATCAAGGAAGTTGCAAATCGGAAATTTGTTGTTTAAAATTGAAAATATTAAGTTATTGAATCGCTTTTTTCCTGCGTTGCGGATTTTAATTCCCTTGTTTGTTTGAAGTGTTTCTGTTGTTGTGGCGTGCGATTGATCTGTGGCTTTGTACAATTGAAGATTTTCTCTTGTTCGAAGGCTTTTCTTTGATTTTGAATTGATCCTGGGCTTCCTAGAACTGGAGATTTTCTTTTGTTTGAGTGATTTGCTTTGATTTTAAAGTGTGGATTCGGCGTTTTGTTTTCTTATGGTTATGGTTTGGCTTTGTTGTGTGCAGGACATTGCAAATACCGAGCTGCCTCCAACTCACCCTATCAGGCTGGGTCTTGCTCTGAACTTCTCTGTGTTTTACTATGAGATTCTTAACTCTCCTGACCGGGCGTGCAGTCTTGCAAAACAGGTTAGTGTTAGAGAAACTGATTGTTTTTTATTTCAATAAATGCCAAATCAATTAAATTATTGTGTTTTCTGCTGTACAAATAAGATTATGGCCGGATGCGGTGAAATTTGCCAAGTCTGTTGTCCATGAATTGAAATAATATTCATTTCATTGCAACAACTGGATACTATAAACTACAGTTATGTTGATTTTGAATTAGCTTTGTTAAATAGAAATGCATAATGATTGTTCCTCGATAACTTTGGTAGGCCTTCTGTTCTAGAATGGTATATAATGAGTCAAATGATTCTGTTAATTTTGATATTCACTAGGCCTTTGATGAGGCGATTGCTGAATTGGATACACTGGGAGAGGAATCATACAAGGATAGCACTTTGATCATGCAACTTCTTCGTGATAACCTTACCCTCTGGACCTCTGACATGCAGGTATGGTTTTTGGAGTTTTTCAATTTTGACCATATCTTTTGTATATTATCGCTTAATTATCTACAGAGAACCAATTTATTGATTACGGTTGTTATTCTTTCTGTTTCAGGATGATGGTGCAGATGAAATTAAAGAAGCCGCACCTAAAGGTGACGGGGAACAAAATTAAACATACCATACTGCTAATTAGTCATTGAACTTCCCTTATGTGTTTTTAAAGGGTGAAGATGCTGATTGCTAATCTCGATGTTACTGAGATTTTAGGCATTCATGATCTTCGTTATGAATTCTGGATGTACTGGGGCTATTTTAGTTTGTCCTTCCATTTGTACGCGTTTCTGAATTGCCTATTTTCTTAATGACACTGAAATTTCCATTAAATATATTCTCTTTAGAAAACTCGGCATCATTATTTTTTTTTTAGAATGTGTAGCGTGACCATTGTTTTTATTTTTGTGCCTCGGAATCATAATTTTAACGTGTTTTGCGAGGTTTGCTTTCTGCCTGCTTTTGTTGATTTTGAGCGCTATTTTTGTGAAATGCACATGGAGTCGTGGAGAAGTTTATGATTTCTAATTTTCAAATGCGCTCTCTGCGGATGCTCGTTTAAGTGGCTGGATTCTAAGTACTGAAGAAACGTCTATTATAGGGACTTGTAGTCGTCGTTATGTTGTGGACGACTCACGATTCCGTCAAGGCTTTTGGTGGAGCCAAGGTCGTGTTATAACTGTAATTATGAGAAAGACTTGGATCTACAAATGTGACATTTTAATCTTTTACAGAATATAACAAATTAAACATTTAAAATACTAAACAAAAACATTCAATTCTAATTTTATAGATTGTTGAAGTACGTCCCATGGCTCCCATCCATCTTCCCCGGTGGAGCGTTGCTACTGTTTCAACATTAAAGCACATCAAGAACTTGCAACAAAGAAAATAAAATAGCCCTTCTCTATTTTTCAATCCTTCCCCTTTTTTTTTTAATTTTTTTTTATTTATTGGTTCTTTATCTCTAGTAACTGAATATTATTAGTGCAACTGTTGAATTAATCTATTTTCTTTTCAATTTTTTCTCTAATTTTCTTCATGTGTTCTCAAAAATAAACTTGTTACTGAATTTCAATTCAATAACATAAAGCTGGAGTTGGTCTATTAATTCATGTGTTTGGGGCATTAAAAGATTGAATGTTTAATTGCATTAACTAAAAATAGTTTCATATCGTAAATATCTTCCATATAAACAAGTGAACGCACCATTTTAGGGAAGGGGAAGTGAATGATAGAAGTAGGAGTGGAGAAAAAAATTGAATTAAACTGAAACGGTGGTAAACTGAATTGTGTTGCACTATAAAAAAAAAATTAAATTGTTTGTAAAAAAAATTGACGTGGTTCTAAAAAAATTATAATAAACCAAATTGAATTGTTTGAAAATAGAATTGAATTATAAAAATTGAACTATTTTTATGAAAGAGTAAAAAATAAATGTGTTTAACATGTTCTGTCTTAATGAATAAGTTTAATAATTTAACGACTTAAACTTAAAAAAAAAGATATTTGAAATTTTTTTTGTCAATTTTGTTAGACTTAATGAGTCAATCGAGTTATGTTGGATGACCAATTTTTAGGCTTAAAATTCACTAAATTGTTTAACTTGATTTTATATTCTTTTTTCCTTTAATTTTTTTAATAAAATAGAAAATAAATTGACAAATGTGTTAAATCTTGATAGACTAACAAATCAAAATTGTTTAATTTAAAATATCATAATAGTTCATTGTAATTCGAATTATAGTTTAATTCAAAGTGTAATTCGGTTCTATTTAATGATAAAAAAAATTAGTTCAATTCATTTAAATTAATATTAAGTTCAGTACATTTTTAATAAACTTCAGTTTATTTTGTCCCCTCTTAAAATAGAAGATAGAAAGAGGAAGGAATGAGAAGTGAAACATAATGAGGATGGAGATGCAGGTGTGGACTGTGGCTCCATGAGAAAGACCCAAACCATGGCCGAGTTACGACATCAATAGCACCAAGAACAATATATTGTACCTAGGAAATTTGTGTTTTGCAGACATGAGAAAGCGGGAGTTCCTTTCCTTGTAGTAGCACTTGTGTTGTTCTATTTTTAAAATCTTAACGTGTTGTCACTCTTTCATTATTTCTAGTTGTGCCTAACCTCTCGCATTTAGGTAAGTGCATACCCAAGTTTTGAACTCTTTTGTGATTGGTGGTTTCTGACATATCCCATTTAGTTTAGCATCTATCCAAGCCTTTCTTTTTACTCTTGGTTGGTAATGTCACAAATGTGTTTGGTACGTCTAAAATATTTCTCTGAATGAGAAACATAATTATTCAAAAAAATCCCCTTTCAAGGGAATCCTGGATTCCCACACCATTTAGAAAAGTTTCATCGAGAAATTTGATTAAAAAAACGATTCACTTCGAAGTTAAAATTCTGAAAATGATTTATAAAATTCACATACTAGACGTAGGAGTTTAGCATTCTAACCTTGAGATTCTTGAGAAACTTAAAAGAAACTCTCAAGTAAACACTCCCTAAAAGTTCAAAAAAAAAAGTTGAGTTAATAGTACTCCTTCTCTCTCTCGATATTTTTTTTTTTAAAATAAGATAATAAAAAAAAGTGTAAAGAGAAAATAGAGGTTAGCTAGAAATAATTCATGTTAGTTGAAGGACAAAACCGTCGAAGTAAATGTAAAAATTAAATGAGAACATCTCTTCATCAATAGTCATATATTTATTTGGTTTAAATTTGAAATAAAATGAACTAACTAATTAAATCAATATAAATTAATTTAATTAGATTTATTTTAATTTGGAGTAAAACAAACTAATTAACCAAATAATTAATTTGCTTTGTATTATTAGGTTTATTAGATATTGAATTTGATCCAATAAATACTGTAGATAAGACATTCCAGCTTTATGCCGAATTTCATGGGGACGGATGGAAGCCCAAGTGGTTGTGTGTTGAAGACTCCATTGTTACTCACTGTTTACGTGTTCATGTCACTTGCCCGTTGCCCTCCTATTTCAAGGTAAAGTGTATTGAGCAAGAAATAGGTCCAGATATTAATGCGTTATATTATATCGCCTGTTAGTTACATTTATTTTTGCATGTTATTTTTTCTTATTTATTACTACATCAGAAGCAAGTTATGATGAACACTTAAACCTTTCTTCTTTCTTGTAGCATTAATTTCGTCACGGTACAAACTTAAAATGAATATATATATATATATATATATTATTTTTTCTTTTTTGGTTTGGGTTTCAGCACCTGGTAACAGAAACTGATTTGTGATTTTGGATGACAGTTATAATACCTCGAGGATTTGAGTTGCACCTGATCTGTGTTTGACTTCTGTATTTTATAAGTATTACATCACTTAATAACTTTATATTAATTGTGAATTTTGTAAATCGAACCGTTAGATTGAAAATTCATATCATTTTATACATGTATGTCAAATTTTATTAAAATTGAACAACAACTTGAAGGTGATTAAAGTGTTCATATTTTAGTGTATTTTGAAATGAATATAGTACGTCAATTTTGTTTTTGTAAAAATGAAGTATCAAATCATCTTGGATTAATATAAAATTTTGTATATATTATCTAAGTGATATGAATTTTCAATTTAACGGTTGGATTTACAAAATCAAATTTAATATAAAGTTATTAAACGGTGTAACACTTAGTAAAAGTTACACCGAGAGAGAGAAGAGAGATCCGTGTATTCCAGGAGTAAGTCTACCTAGAGTTATTCCGTTTAATAACTCATGTTTTATATCAAATTTCAACGATCCAATAGTTGAATTTAAAGTTCTTAATGCATAGATCAAATTTGCAAATTTTAAAAAAATTTGAAAACCATTTTATACTTCTTGTCAGGAGTTCAAATCAATGTATAAAATTAGTTTATGATTATCTGTCAATTTGAATTAATGAAATGAAGTATAAAATGATTTTCAAATTTTCATATTTGATCTATGCATTAAGAACTTTAAAATCAACGGTTGGATCGTTAAAATTTGATGTAGAATATAAGTTATTGAACAGAGAAAGTCTAGTAAATTTATTCTTGGAATAAATGGATCTCTCCACATATATATATATATATGAAATATCCATTCGAATAACTTTACCTAAACTTATTTTATTCAATAACTCATATTTTACATCAAATTTCAACAATACAACTTTTAATTTAGAAGTTCTTAATGCATAAATCAAGTTTGAAAATTTTAAAAAAATTTCAAAACTATTTAATATTTAGTTTCAATAATCCAAATCAATGTATAAATTATTTTTATAATTATCTATCAATTTGAATTAATGAAAAAAGTATCAAATGGTTTTCAATTTTTTTATAAAAATTTTGCAAACTTAATCTATACATTAGAAATTTTAAATTGAACAGTTGGATCATTAAAATTTAATATAAAATATGAATTATTGAATAAAGTAAGTTTAAGTAGACTTACTACACTCAATAACTCATAATTGAATTTCAATTATCCAATCATTGAATTAAGAGTTCCTAATAAATAGATCAAGTGTGCAAATTTTATAAAATTTGAAAATCATTTGATACTTTATTTTATTAATTTAAATCAACTATTAATTTAAATTAATCAAATAAAATATCAAATAATTTTAATTTTTTTAAAAATCTATAAACTTGATCTATATATTAAGAGTTTTTAATTTAATAGTTGAATTATTAAAATTTGATGTAAAATATGAGTTATTGAGTGAAATAAGATTAAACAAACTTACTGTTAGAGTAAGTGGATCTCTCCTAATGGTTAAATGACTCTTGTTTTATATCAAATTTTAACGATTTAATCACTAAATTAAAAATTTTTAATACATAAATCAAGTATGTGTATTTTTTAAAAATTTATAAATTATTTAATCGTTTATTTCATTAATTTAAATTAATTGAATTATTAAAATTTATTATAAACTCTAAATCATTGAATAAAGTAATTTTGTAATAACTTATTCTTAGAATAAATTAATCTCTTTTATAGAAGAAATTAAAAATTTAAAAATAGAAATTACTAATCTAAAACAAGATAATATATCTATTAAATATAGATTATTAGAATTAGAAGGAAAAGAAAAAGTTAGAGAACAAGAAAATATTAAAATAGATTTAGAACAACCTTCAACTTCAATAGAGGATGTTAATTATTTACATATGATAACTACTCATAAATGGCATTGCAATATCAAGCTATTAGTTAAAAATGAAGAATTTAACTTAGTTGCATTAATAGATTCAGGAGCTGATCTTAACTGTTTACAAGAAGGTATTATTCCATCAAAATATTATGAAAAGTCTTCTGAAAAAGTTTTGAGTGCCAATAATTCTTATATGAAAATTAATTATAAATTATCATCTGCAAAAATTTGTAAAAACAAAATCTGTTATGAAGCCTCTTTTGTATTAGTTAAAAATATGAATATTCCTTGTATATTAGGAACACCTTTTCTATCTGACTCTGATACCATAATTGGAAGCGTAAAGGTATAAATATATTGATTATATTGATATAGAGAAATAGTAATATGAAAGATAGGATAATTATGAAGAGAGATATGAATATGACCATGCTCAAGTAAAATTATCATTTTGAAAGACTTACAAAGATTTCAGAAAGATAGCAGATATCGCAAGAATTTTGAGATCGAAGAACAAGGATATTATTTGATTACTAAGACACTCGATGATTACAACTGAGGAGAACTTCTCCTTATATAGACTAACTAAGACTAGGTAAATTACAAGTAGGGGTAGTGACTCACCTAATAATACAAGGGTAAGAAAGGAAAGAAAAAAAAGTACAATAATTTACATAAAACATCTTAAAAAGTTTCTTGTCTTCTTATGGAGCTGGTAACATGTCTTTTTCTTGATGAGTTGTTGATAAGCTGTCTTGTGTCGTTTTGTGATACTGGCGAATAACTTTATCTTGATGAGTTGTTGATGAGCTGTCTTGTGTCGTTTTGTGATGCTGGCGAATAACTTTAGCTTGATATCTTTAACAGGTGTCTCTTTCTGTACTGAAATAATTAAATCTTGAGATTTTAGTCAAACATATCTTCATTGCGAAGATAAGGACTAGATGATATTGAATCTAAAGAGCCTGTTTCTTCAGGCTGAGAATCATCTTGAAGTGCTCTAATTAACTGGAGTCTTGCTTCGAACTCTTCTTGAGAGGTGGCTGAAGCTAGTTCGGCCATAATTTTGCTTTTCTCAGCCAGAAACTGAGTGTCTCTAGAAATTCTTTTCTTGCTTTCTTGAGTTAAAAAGGCTGGAGAGTTGTTTTGAGCCCATTCTTTGATTCTTGATTTACTGATGAGATTCATATCAAACTTGTTCCACCATTTAATTTTAATACATCTTGAAAGAATTTTTAAAGGAACATTGTCATAGGGTTGCCTGAAGATATAATCCCAAGTAACAATCCAAGTAACATTTTGGGATGCAACAAAGGTAATCATCTTGTAATTGGGTAAAAATGTTGTAACTTTTTTAAAATAGTCAAAGTTACACCTATTATGACTATACCCTGGCATGGAAGGGTATAGTCATAATAGGTGTAACTTTGACTATTCTAAATATTGAGGATTCATTTGTATTGGTCTGGCTTTAGTATTAATATTCTTTTCATCGAAATTTTCTATATATGGTAATGATACTTCATACTTTTTTCTATGCCAAAAAGCTGTTGGATTTAACTCACAAATTTCTTGCTCTATTTGATTATTAAATTTTTTAATAGTTTCTTGAACATTTTTATTTAATAATTGTTCTTCTATTCTTTTATATTGAATTTCTTTAGATAAAAAATTAATTTGTTTTCTTTTATTTTCTGTTCCTCTTCTCTTGTAGGCACTGGCGGCCATTGACATCATACAAATATAATCTAATAAACTTTGTTCACTCATACCATCTATATTCCATTCAATCATTTCACTTCCTGAATAACTATTTTGTACATATTCTCCCCGTTCTTCATAAAGAACATCTGCTGGAGAAGGTCTAGGATAATATGTTCTTGTTTTTGGATAATGAGTTTTAATTTTATTAACCGTAAAATCATCTGTGTCTATGGTGTTTATTGAAGGTTTTCCTAAGGTCAATTTTGATAATAGAGAGCGAGCGAGCGAGAGCGAGCGCGAGAGAGAGAGAAAGAAAGAGAGAAAGACCCTAGCATGCCAAAAACAAAGGGACACCCTAGCATGCAAAAAACAAAGGGACACATTCAATGTGTACAACATCTAAACTTTTGACCATAAATGAATAGGAGTACGCGCAATTATGCCCATTCGTCAAGCTTTGGTACAAAAATGTTGAAAACTTTCATTATAAGTTTTTTTTTATTTTTTATTTAATAAGAAGGTATAACTTTGATCAATCTTTATAATATAAAATGGTGTCTTCAGATGAGGTTGCACATCATAAGTGGGTTTCAAGGCGATCGGTGATGAAATTCTGGTCCCATCTAAACTTTCTAATCACCAATTCATTGATTGCATGTTTATATTTTTTTCGCCATATCGATGTCGTAGAGTCCAATCGAGTTATGACTGAAGATAAATGAAGATGTCTAAAGAAGACACAAGGTCGGTTACTAGAACATCATCGAAAACTGCTGCTAAGTAATAGTAAAAAAAAAAAAAAAAACATGAGAATAACTAAACAGAGACTAACTTCATCGTTAAAGTGTATTTTGTAAGTACTTCCTGGAACGAGAACACTTCATCTGAACAAAAATCAAATAGAAAGAGGAGATCGAAAGATCACAATCTTTTATCTACTTGGAGAAGGTTTATTATAATTTTGTTAGTACAGATATATTTATTGTATTTAAATATTTCAATTTTATAAATCTGACTTAATTTTCATTTAACTTTCTTAATTCTAATTATGTTTGTTTTAATTATCTTAATTTTAACTATTTTTTTTTTATTCTTTCAAATTTAGATCTTTTCATTTTGATCATGGCCTTCTACTTTAGTTTTTGTAATTTTTTTAGTTTTTTCATTAGAATTAACAGCTAATATAATAAAATAAAATATTTTTTATAGTAAAAAAATAAAAATAACTTAAACAAAAACCACCTATTTCATATATATATATATTTAAGCCTCATAAATTTTATAATTAACAAAAATGATATTTCAACACCTAATATACTATGCAACAACCAGTGAAAAAAATGATATAATAATATGATAAAAGAAAAAGAAATAAAAAGAAAAAATATTAATCAAGTGAAAAAGTTTATAAAGATCTAAATATCATTCTTTTATTAAATTAGATGATGAGTCACAAAAACTTGTACAAAACTTACCAAGTTACAACAAAACAAGTTCAAAGATCTCTCCATCCAGGACTGGAAACAGGCACAGTGGGTGAAAGTGGAAGCATGGAACACCCCAACGAGTGAAGAGGAACCGGCGAAGAAGGTATCTGAAACTCCCACTCTGACGTCATCGAGCTCCGCAGAAATCGCATGTACGCGGAGACAGGTGACTCTGCGTGGACGCTGGGAAACGGCGGAAGCGGAGACGGAGGCGCCACGGCGAAGCTGCCGGAGGGCTGCGGCGGGCGGTGGCTAACAATCTGCGGCAGCGGCGGCGGGCGCAGGCGGTGGAGACGAGAACTGGCAACCGGCTTGAGTTGCGGGGTGTGACCGGGTGAACCGGTCAACTTTTGGACCATGTCCCTGAAATCGTTTTTGCTGATGTTGTAGACTTGTGGCTGAGACTGATCATGTGGGAGAGTGTGTTTGTTGAAGGCGTGGTTGGGTTTGGAGATGTTATGTGAAAGCTTGTTGAGTTGTTTGAGATAGTTTTTGTGATCCATTTTTCTCACTCACTCACTCACCCTAGTTGGGTTAGTAGAGACACTTGCTCTTATATAGGGATAGAGGAGAAAATGAAATATTTTTGTGGTCAAGTTTTTCATCAAAGTGTGTTGTTGCTAGTCACTGTAATGATTAACGAGTAAAGAGAGAGTGATGGAATTAATTAATAGGTGAAGAGAAAAGAAAAAGGAGACATGGGTCTTTGTTTTTCATTTTAATAGGTGTACAATATAGATGAGGGGTCGACCTCATAACATTAACATGCCCCCTTAATCAATCACACCTCTTTGACTGTACGTTCAGTAGTTCAATAGTAACTTACAATATTTTTTAACTACCGAGAATTATAGCTTAATTATTATGAGCATAAAATCATGATTAAAAATATTTTTTATTATTATAAAAATTGATTTAATACATATGAGTTATATTCTTTTTTTTTTTAAATAGATAGTCCAAGATCATCGAATAATTTTTTCCACAATGTCATGCACCTTTCTAACAACTGTACTTAAAAGTTATATAATTTAACATCTCATCTCATTAATAGTAATTAATAATAATAATAATACAAAACGAATTTTTAAAAAAGTTTTATTATATAATTAACTAAAAGAAACAAGAGGAAGGGAGTACTTACAAAAAGTGAAAATATTTAAAAGATAAATTCTTTGACAGATTTTCTTTCAAATAACAACCAAATCACTTGAATGAATCAAGTTTTATTATTAGCTAAATATAAAGTAGGTCTGACGAGAACCATCCAAAATCCAAAATCACACTTTTCCAATCTAAATCATACAATTATTCATATAGTTTTTTCATGCTAACTCTCATATACAAGGCAAGTGTGTTTCATTTTTTAAAAGATGGGGCAAGAGCCAGCGTGTTGAAGAGAGTTTGTGTGAACTGTGAAAAAGTATTTTGCTATATATCATTTATCTTCTCTTTTGTTGCATTATGGTAGATTCAAAAGATGGAGGAGAAATAAATCAAAAAGAAGAAAGAAATAACACTTGTTTCTGTGTAGAAACACTCCTCTTGTCGCTCCTTCTTCGTGGTCTTCTAAGTCTTTGGTGCCGACCGAAAACTATCTTCAAAGGGTGGGGAGAGTACCTGCAAAGGCACTCCGACATCAAGTAAGTGTTCGGTATAGAATAATAAAGACTTTTATACTAGATAAATCATACCTCTTTTCTGTCCCATCACCTGTGTATTTATAGTGACGTATCTAGGCCTGGTGGGCCTTCTGTCTTGGGAGATGAGTAATACTTTGGTTAACCTTAATCTTCCTTAATTAAGCACGATAAACGTTGTGTGAAGGATATTCTAATCTATCATATTTTCCACGTGGGTTGATACACTTTGGGTCTTCGGCCAAGCTTTTAGCCGAAGAGGTGTTCGGTTGTTCGTATGACAAAGGAGGTGTTCAGTCAAGCTCAAGACCGAAGCGGGGCTCGGCTATGCTCAAGGCCGAAGGGGGTCTCGGCCATGCTCGAGGCCGAAGGGGTATTCGGCCATGTCTTCCCTTGATGCTCTTTTGCCTAACTTGGGAACATTTCAGGGTGTTCGGTCAAGCTCAAGGCCGAAAGGGGGCTCGGCCATCCTTAAGGCCGAATGGGTGATTCGGGTGAAGACATCTTCGGTTTGGGTGTTTGTTTCGGCCCCTTCTTTAGCCGAAGGGTAGTCGGCCTAGGGTTTGATCGAAGGGTGTATTCCCAGTTTCCAATCCAAATCATACAATTATTCATATAGGTTTTTCATGCTAACTCTCAGATACAAGGCAAGTGTGTTTCATTTTTTAAAAGATGGGGCAAGAGCCAGTGTGTTGAAGAGAGTTTGTGTGAACTGTGAAAAAGTATTTTGCTATATATCATTTATCTTCTCTTTTGTTGCATTATGGTATATTCAAAAGATGGAGGAGAAATAAATCAAAAAGAAGAAAGAAATAACACTTGTTTCTGTGTAGAAACACTCCTCTTGTCGCTCCTTCTTCGTGGTCTTCTAAGTCTTTGGTACTGACCGAATACTATCTTCAAAGGGTGGGGAGGGTACCTGCAAAGGCACTCCGACGATCAAGTAAGTGTTCGGTATAGAGTAATAAAGACTTTTATACTAGATAAATCGTATCTCTTTTCTGTCCCATCACCTGTGTATTTATAGTGACGTATCTAGGCCTGGTGGGCCTTCTGTCTTGGGAGATAGGTAATACTTTGGTTAACCTTAATCTTCCTTAATTAAGCACGATAAACGTTGTGTAAAGGATATTCTAATCTATCATATTTTCCACGTGGGTTGATACACTTTGGGTCTTCAGCCAAGTTTTTAGCCGAAGAGGTGTTCGGTTGTTCGTATGATCGACGAGGTGTTCGGTCAAGCTCAAGACCGAAGCGGGGCTCGGCTATGCTCAAGGACGAAGGGGGTCTCGGCCATGCTCGAGGCCGAAGGGGTATTCGGCCTTGTCCTCCCTTGATGCTCTTTTGCCTAACTTGGGAACATTTCGGGGTGTTCGGTCAAGCTCAAGGCCGAAAGGGGGCTCGGCCATCCTTAAGGCCGAATGGGTGATTCGGGTGAAGACATCTTCGGTTTGGGTGTTTGTTTCGGCCCTTTCTTTAGCTGAAGGGTAGTCGACCTAGGGTTTGGCCGAAGGGTGTATTCCCAGTTTCCAATCCAAATCATACAATTATTCATATAGTTTTTTCATGCTAACTCTCAGATACAAGGCAAGTGTGTTTCATTTTTTAAAAGATGGGGCAAGAGCCAGCGTGTTGAAGAGAGTTTGTGTGAACTGTGAAAAAGTATTTTGCTATATATCATTTATCTTCTCTTTTGTTGCATTATGGTAGATTCAAAAGATGGAGGAGAAATAAATCAAAAAGAAGAAAGAAATAACACTCATATTCTTGATCTCATGCAAAGGAACTACCGGGTCAGTTTCCTATCTCCCATAATCTTAAAAAAAAAAAAAAAAAAAAAACTAATGCGCAGAATTGATTGCAAAGGATGGAACTTCTTTTATGACAGCCTGTTCTCGTTGATTTGCCAGTCCTTAGTTAAATCTTCGATTGCTTACTTAATACATATATAAAAAGAAAAATTGTTAGTTTAAGTTATTCAACACTTCTATTTCTTAACTAAAAATTTAAGGTGGTAAGGTTTTCACTTTGTTACGGGCACTCGAAAAATAATTTGGCACTCAAAAGAATTGCTTGGTGGAGTACCAACCAAAAGAGAACATCAGAAATCCTAAACATACATACTCGAGAATTGCTCGAAAATGCAAAATAACGTTACCAGAGGTTTGTGACAGTTAAAGCACACCAAGGCAGTTATTAAAGATCGAATGAAGAAAACGAGAACGTGGGGCGAACGGTTATGAGAAGTTATATCTTTAAACCATGTAATGAGCATAGTGGATAGCGGTTATCCTCCAATAATGCACACGTACACAACCAATCGCCCTCAATTAGCTCTATAAATATGAAAAGCATAGTAATTTATAGAGGTTGGAAAAATCATACTTGAACTCTCTCAAGCACTCACCATCTGCGCATATGACTTTCGTGCATGGAACTGCTGGGTATGACCATTTCTTGGCCACATTTTCTTTCTTTTTCCAGGATTAGTGTTGTTTCTTTTAATTAGTGTAGTCTCGTCTTTTAACTCCGTAGTGGTAAGTTGTTAATTGTAACATTGTAACTTGATCATTATGCAAATTGGACGATGATTTGTATTACTAATATACTTATTGTGCATTCCGTTCATTTGAGCATATATATGCATGAACAATATTGCTTGATAATCATTAATGAAAATTTAGAGACAAGTAATTATTAATCTTTCTACTCCATTTTTTTTATTCCTTAAAGTTCAAAGCGTAACATACCTAAATTGAAACAAACTAGTGCTAGTTCAAATAAAAAGAACTCATAAACGAATTCTACCACAAACACACTTAGATATGAAATCACGATCAGAGAATATATCACTTTATCGAAAAATTCTAGTTAACATGAAACATCTGATTAGGTATTCATAAATTTAGTAACAAAACAAAGAAGTTTTTAGGTAATTTACATGATATAAGTGAATATAGAATATTAAATTTAACAGTTGAGATTGTTTGTCATCAATTTACATTTTTTTGTCCTTATTTAAAAAAAAAAGTGAATTATTGAATATCTATAAAGTTTTTTTGGACCCTAGAAGTAGTGTTATTTACTGACAAAGACTTCTCTGGCAAGATTTCAACAAAGGCATCCTCCCCAAGATTTCTCCCCCACCTCGACATCTCCAACCACAACATTGGAGACTCAATCTCCTGAACTCACGAAACTAACCTACTTCCACACGCTTTGGTTGTAGAAAGCCATCTCTAACAAAAATGGATTCTCCGACTTTATTTTGGTAAAATTATGATAATTTAATATATTTAAATTGAATTTATAATAATAAATTAGATTATGATATATGTATATTTAAAATAAAAATATATATCGTACATGTGTCACTGATTTATTTTTATAAATTTAATAATTTAAATATATTAAATTATCGTAACCTTCGTGTTTCAAAATCAAAAATCATCTCATGTTCTTGACCTCTCCTTCTCCCTCCACAACCTCATCGAACTCAACGCCACATACAACGAACTTTGCAGTCATGTTCCCAAGTCCATGCTCAACACAGTTGAAAACCACGTCTTCTGCGAATCCACACCATTATTGGAAATTTGGAATGTCCCACCAATGAAACAGATCCAAACATAGAAAAGGAGACTTTGTGACTCCTTTTGCAACCGTTCCTTCAAAAGTCAGCTTCTTCCCGCAAATAAATGAAATTTCTGTGACTAACACTTCAAGGAAGGAAGGGTTTAGTGTTGATAGAATTTGTGACAGTGTCATTCGCGGTGGTGCACTGCTGCACAATGAAGGAGGCTCTAAGGTTGAGTGCTAGCGACATTGCAACAATGTTGTTCAAAGTGTCGTACTACTGTACTAAGTAGAAAAGTGATATTTTAGACAATCTCAATATTTGATAAATAAAAAAATTAAAACATTTTTTTTATATATATTATTAATTCATTTAAATATTATTATCAGTAAAG